TGGATCTTGGGCGGACAGCTGCTCCATGCTCAATCTGTCTTCTGGCCACTCTGTTTGTTGTCTCGAGCTTCTTCATTGTGATCACAAACTCGTAAATGTTCGGGTGGTGCTTCTGAACCAGCTTCTTAAATCCAAGGTGGAATCCCTCCAAGTGATTGTTTGTTCTTGGCCCAGTGTTTCCATGTTGATTCCAAATGCGAGGTGGGAATCTTGCGTCGTAGTCAACCCATGTAGATGTGATGTAGTCGTTGAACTGGCCGATTCCGTCAACGTCGGGAGACTGGTTCAATACTTCCATCCAGGCATCTTGGATCTGATCCACTGGGAGGAGGGGGAGTGCTGCAGCACGTCGCACGTGGGTGTTGAAGGCACGGTTGTCCTTGTAGGTTTTCACAAGGCCTTTCTCTGAAACCTGCCGCCAAACCGCCTGGGTGAAGTGGAAGTAGCATCCACGGACTTCTGCATCGGGGAAGACTCTCTCAGTGGCTCCAATAGCAGCAGCTTCGTAGTCAGTCTGTACAACGGAGGGAGAAAGTTCAACGCCGACAATAGCAAGCACAGAGTCCTTCAAGTAGTTAAACAATCTAATGTATGTATCACGAGACTTGCTTAAAAACCTTAAAGACCTTAAAAACAAGCAAGTGTGTTAGACGTTGTTTTTGATGAATGAATGAATGAATGAAGTACACTGTCAAGAAATCAATTGAGCATTATGCAAATATCAGTAGATAAGTTAATACTTAAAAAAGGTACCTGTGAGGTCTACATCAGCACGGGTACGTGGGACTGGTGGAAGAACCTTGGCACGCTGACGGTAGAGTCCAGACTTGATACTGTAGAAGGAAGCAACAGTAGCAGCAGCTTCTTCGTCTAGGTTCTGGGTCTCTTCATTGTAGATTTGCTGGACAGGCTTGATCTCTTCTTGAACGCGTTGTCTAAGTCTGGTGAGAAGTCGACTCTCTTCTTCATTCACTAGTGGAGGATGGTTGTGTTCTGATACTGAAGTGATGTGATCCCCAATGGTGCTGCATCTACCCTTGCACTTGTCGATGATACACTTCCAGTGAGTGGCTACCTGTCTGTCAACGTGCAGTCGATACTTGTGACCTCCGTGTAGAACCTGTTTTCCTCCTCTCTGCGACAACGTGAACTCTGCTTTCTGTAGGTTAGCCATTGCGACTGCCCATACTTTGCAAACTACCATACTTATAGGGTTGCAGTGAGTTACTAAATTGAAAGGAGAGAGAAGTTATTTCCGATTAGTAGATACATTAATTAATAATACTCTCTACTTTATTTAGACAAAATTGAAATATACTTTAAATCTTCTCTAAGTTTCCTTCTCCATCCTGTATAACTACCACAACACTGAAACAAGAGCACTTTGTCAAGTAACTCAGAGATGTATGTGATTTTAGACTAATCCCATTATGAGAGTAGGGGTGCATTGTCTGACCCTAATTAACCTCTGATGTTTTTGTGGGCCAATTGGGATGTGGGCAATTAGGGATGTGGGCGAATAGAGACTAAGCCATCCCGGCTGCTTCGTTTCGAGGGAGGTAAACCGAGGTACAAAATATTGCACTTTTGAATTGCGATTATTCGCTTATAATTTTGTTTATTTGTTTTTTCATAATCAGCAATGCATATTATATGTCATGAAGAAGTGATAATTGTGTTTTAATTATGTTTGATTTTTTTGGTTGCATGTGACCTTTAAGTGAAGCCCTTTTTCCTCTCCATTCCCAACATATCCAACCACCTCCGTGGTGTAGTGGTTAGAGCGTCCGCTCGGAGAGCGGAAGGTCGCGGGTTCGATCCCCGGTCACGTCATACCAAAAGACGTTTCAATATGGTACTTGCTGGTCCCTGCCTGGCATTAATGGGTACAACAAGGACTGGTCGGCTCGGAGTCAGTATAATGTGTCTGATTTGGGTATTCATGCTTAACTGCGGCATGGTATCTCAGTCTGTCTTGCATCTAGCACTATAAAACCAGCTTAAGACTGGGCTAGTACAAGCAACCACACATACGTCATATGAACGAAATATTCATATGTGCGACGTTAAACCCCATTTCACATCACCTCACCCAACATATAAAGCCTCAATCAAAAGTGTCAAAAACAACTTAAACCTCATACATATATCCTGACTTGTATTTATATCTATAGAATAGGGTATATGAATGCCTGTTATCATAATTGTTTGGTCTGTAGTGTTCCTTTGCAGTTATCAAACTGATACCCATCGAATGTTACTATTTAAAACGTATGCCAGAGACACAGGTGAACAACCTGCCTACTATATATAAGGTAGTATTTATTGTGTTGGTTAACCATAGTTATAGTACTATGTATCATTCGCACTTCGACATGTTTGTCAAGATATAGTCCGTTTTTAAAAGTAAAGAAAGAAAGGAAATCGCAGAACGCAAATGAACCCCATCACACGATAGCGACAATGCCCGTTTCACATCCATAAGAAATCTCTTAGAAAAGCAGAGTCGATAGTAAATGTTCCAACTATATCATGCTACTAGTTATACGACTGTCAATATCGAGTATGGTCAAGACAATCCATTAGTGGACATAATGACAGAGCATATGTTTATGAATTACTATCAAATAGTCTGGATACCAGGTGTTCTCGAAAAGGTAGGCGTATCCTGTTCCACCATATGGACAGGCTAGTGAATTGTTCACCTAGAAACGATTAGGGAACTGCAACGTGCACCATTGTCACTGATGCAACAATATTTGAGAATGTTTGCGACCTCATGTGTTGCAAGTATCTTACCTTCACCGACTGCTTAGTGGTGGCAGATGAAGCTACTGTCATTTGGGACAGGAAAGAAGAAGACGTGAGTCGATCAGAGACTAAACAATTTTGATTGAGGCTATGTTGGGAATGGAGAGGAAAAAGGGCTTCACTTTAACGGACCAGTTATCTTTACATACAATATTTTGTAACATTACAAAGTGTTACATGCAGTACCATTCTGTACATATTCACATGAATAAAGAGAACTGAATTGAATATAGATACAATGCTGGATACATGTGTGAGACAGAAGGTGCTTTTGAGAGCACGGACGAAGTCGGATCGAACACTAATGATATAGCAACTATATTGAGGATATAGAAAAGAGGGCTTCACTATAAGCAACGTAGTAGCTTCAGATACTACGCAATAAGACTCAGTGACGTGGTATTTAGGTAGATATAAAACCAGTTTGCCTTTCATGTGTAACTCTAGTAAGTAAACAAAGCTATAAGATATTTAGCCTGTTTTTAAACATGTCACATTTACCCATTGACATTTGCCAATATCAACTTCGCATTAACATACACATCCTGTGCTGATTCAGCATGAGGCAATAAAGGTTTATTAGGGAACCCCAATATATTAATTAAGGAAATAAATAAATTTAAAACACTGTCACTTCCTGCCCAGGGCCCCGTTTCACAAAGCTCTCGTAAGCCTAAGATCTCGTAACTTTTCTCGTAGCATTCGCACCTCCTATACTGTAACATAGTGAGTACGAATGCTACGAGAAAAGTTACGAGATCTTAGGCTTACGAGAGCTTTGTGAAACGGGGCCCTGGACGTCACTCGATAAGAGAAGTAAATAGTCTTCTCACACAGACATATCAAGGAAAACATATAACAACAAGACGGTGTCTTTTCTACGGGACTCTGGGTATGTAGTCATAGCCTGACAGAAACTTGAAGTAACGAGAAGTAACGAGAAAATATTTTGAAATTTCATGCTTTTTGAAAGAAAATGGAAGCAACGAGAAAATATTCGAATCAATGAGAAATTAGTCCAAGCAACGAAAACATGATTGAAGTAACGAGAAAATACTCGAAGCAACGAAGAAATATTCGAAATTTCAAGTTTTTGACAGAAACTTGAAGTTACGAGAAAATATTTGAAATAACGAGAAAATACTCAAAGCAACGACGAAATTATCGAAATTTCATGTTTTTTAAAGAAACTTGAAGTAACGAGAAAACATTTGAAATTTCAAGTTTTTGAAAGAAACATGAAGTAACGAAGAAAATATCCGAAGCAACGAGAAATTAATGAACGCAACGAGAAAAAGTCGCTAAAAAGTATTTTATGCCACAAAATCGACAGCATGCATTAGACTTTCGTAGTGGTCAAGGCATCACAGATGAAATTAATTGCAATGACATTAATGGCATACTTATATACTCAGAATGCGGACAGGCTTCAAGGATCGACATTGTCGATGGGCGTGTCACCTGAATGATAGCAGATCTATTGATAACAACATTCTCAGCTTGCGGATAGATGTACTATATAGCACAGTAGGCAAGGCATACCTGTGCACAACAGAAGAGTACTCTCTCAAGTTTTCATAACTGTCCCCATTTACCGCATCCTTTCATCTTTCTCTTTTAAGTCAACCGAGGATGTAGTGAGAATGGATTCCATGAGGGTTACAGTATTACTCATACATGCTCCCAGCGCCTATTATCTACATACTTATGTTCAGCGAAGACAAGGTCCGCAGCATAATAATGCACATGTATAATAACAAGGTCCGCAGCATAATAATGCACATGTATAATGCCACCCAACTGATCCCCGGACTCCTACGCCTATTTTATTAATATATTGTCTTGAAACTCCCAGCGATTTATATTTCCTAAAAATGTCGGAAAGCGGACGTAAAATCTCCGAAATCAGTCCGCAAAACCGTCAAATATAGTCCGTTTGAGTCAAATTCTCCGTTGAGTTTCAGACTTGAAGGAGTCGTAGACCTTGTAATTTCAAGCTTTAACAACAGCAGTAAACTTGAGTGAGATGAATCAATCGGTCAATCAGTAGGATAAACCGTCACGTGACAAATTTGCCCGTGCCCCCCCGCTTACATGGCTGTTACCTGAGCTGTCTCTACACCATTGTCACAAATCTTGAAATATCGAATGAAAACAATGATGGTTTGTCAAACAACTTTTCGGCAGAGTTGGTGTGTTTTTCCTATTTACTTTGGCGTTGGTTTGAGTCATTTACGATTATTTGTTTTTGAGTTAGTGTGCAATTCATTGGGGAGATTTTGACTCAGACGGACTTTGTACATCCAGTTGCACCCATGAGGGTCTGTCATCAAAACGAACCCTCATGCGTGTATTTGAATCCTTCCTACCGTTCATGGCATTATTCTTATTAAAAACTTCACATTAGGCACCATAATTATGTTAACTACGTTCTTTGTACTGACATATATGATATATGCTTTTCATGACTTTATATGAACAATCACGTGATACCATAAACGATTTAAGTACTGGGGATTAATTTTATCAAAGCACCGCCATCATTACGCTCATTAGACTACCCGATCACAGAAATACTCGGCGTCTTACACTACCCGATCACAGAAATATTCCACATCTTACACTACCCAATCACAGAAATATCTGGCGCATAAGACTACCCGATCACAGAAATATTTAGCGTCTGACACTACCCGAGCACAGCAATATTCGGCGCCTTACACTAACCGAGCACAGCAACATTTGGCGCATTACCAATTCAAACGAAGTCATTTTCTGAGCGTTTTGATTACCATAGGACCTATAATATGTATAGGAAGTATCCAAATGGTAAGAAAATATACTGATCAGAGTAATATTCGGCGCATTAGACAATCCGAGCAAAGCAATATTCGGCGCATTAGACAGTCCGAGCAAAGCAATATTCAGAGCTTCAGATTACCCAACACACATAAAGTTAAAATTAAGTATCACAAAGGCGAGAGAATTTTGTGTTGCGCGAAACTTGGAAATATGAAACATACTTACATTTTGAGCTCAGTCTTCGTCTGATGAAGAACCCACTCTGTCATCACTTAAATATTAGTTGACGTTTAATTTGCATAGATGATTTATTGGTAAAATAGTCAACACAGACAAATCGTATTCCACATTTAAAGACAGCCAATGGGAAGAGTCATATGAAGTTTGGCCAAAACCAGAAAGGGGTTTCGTGTGCAAACTGATTAAATTCATGCATGGGTGAAAATGGAGAATTTATTCTTTCACAGCAGCTATTCCTTCGCTATTACAGATAATTGTATGGTTTGCGAGTTTACGAGGATGACGCACAGTCGCATCCGGACCAGGTAAAACACATGTTGTGGGTGCTGGGTAACGCTAATAGCTCTTTTCCCCACCCTCCCTCCGTGTAGACCAGGGCAACATAGGTCCACAGCACCCCAGTGTTGGTCGCAAGACCGAATTGGAAAACCTGTTTTCCGTGCGTTGCGCCCGTGTCGGTGGAGGATGGGAGTCTGGTGGTTGAGGGCAATAGGGGCCTGGAACCGTGTTCCTTTTGCCCAACACACCACTTTGGCCCTTACTTCACCTAGACGGGTGGTACATAATTGGTCCGATTCATCATTCGGCTGGTCTCGCCATGCCCTGCGCATAGAATATATTTTTTGCACATTTAACTTATTGGGTATTGGTAATTTTGATTTGAAATATACAGATTATTGATATATTAAATTACCTAGAGTCCTATGCCAAATGGCGGTGGCTCATGTTAACCAGCCTGACATTATATTTGGTAGACAAATATAGCTATTTATGTCGTATTTACTGGAGTATATCACCCTTGTATCCCTGGTGTTTGCATGCTGGATATCCGCTGCAGATACTGTCCTTGTTGACACTCGGTGGTGAGCAAGGGTGCTTAAACCCGTCAGATACATCATGAGTCAAATAAATTCTGGTTCTGTCAGGAATGACAAGAAAAGGTGTCTGAAGGCTGAATATATTTCAGTTCCAAAGCAACAGGAAAACCGGTCAAAAGTTATAGCTGTTGAGGCTACAAATGGTGAACCCCTCAAATTAAATCCTTTTTAGATTTCCAAGACTATCCAATCTATATGCGGAGAAGTCAAAACGTCTCGTGTCTCCTCGGTGGTCAGCTCCTTGTAGAATGTGCAAGGAGTCAATAATCAATTACAACAACACCAACTTGCAAATGTCAGCGTTAAGATCACAGAACATAAAACATTCAATTCGAGTAGAGGCATTGTTCCAAGCAACACATACCTGTTTACTTTTGCATTGAGCACAGTCCCTAAATCAATATAAGCTGGTTATTTCAATATCGGAGTGGAGGTGTATATGTCAGAAGTTTGGAACCACCATGAGCCAGAATCCTAATCTAATACAATGGCATTGCAGAGACGTTAAGACCAATTTTAATGATCTACAATTACTATCACAAGATTTTAAACCATCAGCCTTTAGTTCACAAGAGACATACCTGAAAAGTACAGATCAATTTGATTTTCGTCAGTACAATTAATTTAATTCGTTTTCACCTCCAGGTGAGAAAACCACCGGTGGCGCTTCTATTTTGGTGAGGCAGGGTGTTATTCATAGCCCTGTCCCTCTTTAAAGCAATCTTCAGATTATTGCTGTCCGCCTTTCTTTACAAATAACCTTCAAGCTCTGTTCTGTGTACATTTCTCCATCTTCGGCTCTTCAGCAGTCTGATCTTCAGGATCTATTTGACTAGCCTCCCAGACCCTGTATTATCATGGGTTATCTTAACGGACACAACCCTTTGTGAGGAAGCACCGATGCTAACAGTAAAGGGAAAATCCTCGAAGACTTAATTTCTAATAATAATTTATGCATATTTAATGATGGATCAGCCACTTATTTACATCCTGGATTTGGAACTAATTCTGCACTTGATCTGTCTCTCACAAATCCCAATATGTATAACGAATTTGAATGGTCAGTCCATGATGACCTGTGTGGAAGTGACCATTTCCCCACAATACTTTCAGCTCTAAACCCGAATGATGATCCACCTGCAACGAGGTGGAATATTAATAAGGCCAAATGGCCATTATTTCAAACACTGTGTACTGACAACTTAAAATCTGACTTTTTGGACAATTCTCTAGATCTGATTCAGTTATTCTCTGATAAACTGAAGAATATTGCTGATGAAACTATCCCTAAGTCCTCTGCAATTCCACATATTCGTAAGCCTGACTGCAAACAGGCCAGGAAGAGTGGGAAGAAGGCAGAAAAATATTTTCGCCGACAACCTACAATCCATAATTTAGATAAAGTTAACATTTTAAATGCCAAGGCTCGACGCGCATTTAAACAGAATACGGGTCAGTCTTGGCGAAACTATGTCCTCAGAATTAATTCACGCACACCAATGTCAAAGGTGTGAAACATGATTCAACGAATACAGGGCAAAGGTTAAAAATCTACTGACATTTGAGCTTCCTTCACGAACAGTAATGGGGGAGGGCTGAGTGAGATTGAGAGGAGTGCCTGGAAGAAGATTGGGAAAAATCAGCTGTGTGTTATTCTTGATACTTAATAAACTAATACAATTAAATGTGAAAACGGAACGCAATTATAACATAAAAGCCTTCAATTTACGAATCATCGATTTAATTCCCGTATCGTTAAACTGGAAGTAATGTCATACTCGAGACAATTGAACTGGAACCAGTGTAAGTTAACTGAAGATACATGAGTGTGTGAGTGAGTTTGGTTTTACGCCGCTTTTAGAAATATTCCACCAGAAATATTGGCACCAGAAATGGGCTTCACACACTGTACCCATGTGGGGAATCGAACCCGGGTCTTCGGCGTGACGAGCGAACGCCTCAACTACTAGGCTACCTCACTGTCCCACCACCATTTGAAGGATGGTGCCAATGTACTGACGGATAAGGCTGACATAGCCAAGAAGCTTGGTGAAACCCTTGCCAAGCATTCTCCTTCGTCAAATTATGTCCCGGAGTTTCAGAAACATTAGAAACAACAGGAGAAGAAAAGAGTGAGTGAGTTATTATTTAACGTCACATCGGCAATATTGCAGCCATATCGTGACGAGAACATTTGTCATGGAAATAGAATATATATAGATATTATAAAAACCTGCCGACGAAGGACAGTAAAACAACTAGAATATCACAATTTGAAGTAAAACTAGCGTAAAAAGTAAAAACAAATAACAGTATTTGGACAATACAATATAAAAAAGTGGCTAGAGATCGCCAACAACTGAAGGGAGATCACCATACTAGGGACCATGGGGACTTACATTACTTTTGCATTACCCTAGCTGGATTTACACCACCCCTTCAGCCATTGGCGTTGATGCTGACATTAAGCCAAACATTAAAAACACAACAATACTACGATTAAAAACTGGTACACTTCAATTGACTTCAAATGTTTTGGGACTTACATACCCTCGCAGGAGGACAATAATTTACGCTGCGTCAACCCCCTTTGAGGGTACAGCCACTAACAATCTCAGTTACTAATTCAAACTACCAATAATACAATATATATCTATTTACAAATCACTTAACAAATCTAATTCCTTTAAAAATGCAATAATTAAATGAGAACTGACATTTTTAAAAAGATCCTTCATAGCTTTTACTTTGAAATAGTTATCCCTTGTGATGGAATATTCAATGCAGTGAAGCAGGACATGCTTGACTGTGATCCTTTCATCACAAGGGATACAAAACGGAGGATCCTCACCTTTTAATAGGTACTCATGCGTATATCTTGTGTGGCCAATACAACATAGTCGTATGATGACCTCTTTACATCTGGACTGACAGCCCAAGTAGGTGTAACCGATAGTTGGTTTTATTGCATGTAAGTTATTGAGACCTATTTGGGTGTCCCACTTCTTTTGCATGAGATCACGGATGTAAGTTCTAATGCTAGCTATGTAATCAGAGTATGGGATCAGAAGTGGTGTCACAGATTTGTTGAGTGCTGCCTTAGCAGCAATATCGGCCATTGTGTTCCCAGAAATGCCAACGTGGCTGGTTAACCAACTAAAGACGATGTCGCATTGGCCAGTAGCAAGCTCATTATACATTTCAATAATTTCTAATAAAAGTGGATGTTGACAAGAAAGATTTTTAATAGCCTGAAGACACGAAGGAGAATCGGAAATTATTATGTATTGTTTATATTTACGGTGTTTATTAATATATTTAAGAGCTGTTAATATGGCGTTAGCTTCTGCTGTGAAAATAGAGCTGTTATCCGGTATTCTAGAAGATATTGGTCTGGATCCAATGACAGTAGCACATGCCACCGCGCCACCATCCTTGGACCCATCCGTTAATAAGGATTTGTATGTATTATATTTATTTTTTAATTGATTATATTCTTGTTTAGATTGTAATTCATTAGTTACAGATTTCTTAAACTTTGTCAGAGTTAGATCAACTTCAGGCCTCACCAGTTGCCAAGGAGGAGAAGAAAGAAGACGGGAAGGAGATATATTTTCCAGCTCAATGCCGGCAGCAGAAAGTAAAGGTTTTATTCTTATTCCTACAGACGGAACAAGGGAAGACTTTTTGTTGTACAGTTCCTCATACAGGGGATTAAAGTCACAGTTATATGCAGGATTCGACTGATTAGAATATAGTTTAGTAATATACTGCAAAGATAATTTGATACGTCGTTGGTGTAAAGAAGGCTCGTCAGTCTCAACGTAAATACTGTCAATGGGAGAAGTGCGGAAAGATCCAAGACAAAGTCTTAGACCTTGGTGGTGAATAGAATCAAGTATTTTCAAGTTCCTTTTACTGGCTCCCCCATATACGATGGAGACATAGTCAAGTTTTGATCGGATGAGTGATCTGTACAAATGAAGGAGGGTAGTTTGATCCCCAACCCACTTTGAATTTGACACGACTTTTAATAGATCTAATGCCTTCAGGCATTTAGTCTTCAAATACTTAATATGTGGTAGAAAGGTAAAATGTTGGTTGAAAATCAGTCCCAGAAATTTGGCTTCCTTCACAACGTTAATTGGAGAACAATCTAAGAACAATTCGGGATCTTTATGAGGCTTATACTTCCGACAGAAATGTATACATTTGGTCTTTATCTGTGAAAATGTAAAGCTATTCTCAAGTGACCATTTATGAATTGTACTTAAACACATCTGTAATTGTCTCTCAATAGTATGCATATTTTTACCACGACAAGAAATATTAAAATCATCCACAAAAAGTGATCCATCGATGGAATCGTTTGAAACCTTGGATAAGCTGCTGATCTTGATACTAAATAAAGTGACAGACAAAATACTGCCTTGAGCGACACCCTGATCCTGATTGTAATGATCAGACAGGGTTGAACCCACTCGGACTTGAAATTGTCTGTCTTTTAAAAACCGTGATATAAAAAGAGGCAAACGGCCTCTCAAACCAAAGTCATGTAAATCCTTCAAAATGCCATGCTTCCAGGTCGTATCATAAGCTTTCTCAAGATCAAAGAAAATTGACACTGCATGTTGTTTATTTACTATAGCATTCTTAACGAAAGATTCTAAACGTACCAAATGATCAATGGTACTACGATTTTTCCTTAAACCACATTGAATATTGGTTATAAGGTTATTGGTTTCAAGATACCAAGTTAATCTATTATTCACCATACGTTCCATGGTTTTACAAACACAGCTAGTTAGAGAGATCGGTCTGTAATTAGACGGATCAGTATGATCCTTGCCATGTTTTGGTATTGGGACCAAAATGGCATTACGCCATGAAGGAGGAAATTCTCCAGACGTCCATATTTGGTCAAATATATCTAAAAGTGTCATCAGACATGGTTCCGGTAAGTGTTTCAGTAGCTAGTATAGTGTATTGTCATCCCCCGCTGCAGTGTCATGAGCTTGCTCTAGAGCAGTATGTAGCTCATGTAATGATAACACTTCATTATAATCTTCACCGTTATTTGATTCGAAATTAAGTTTTGTCTTTTCCTGTTGTTTTTGATATCTCTGAAACTCAGGAACATAATTTGCCGATGATGAATTTTTGGCAAGAGTTTCGCCAATTTTATTTGCAATGATGCATTTGTCAGTTATTAAATTGTCACCATCTTTAAGATGATGAACAGCAGCTTTGGAGCCTTTGCCTTTTATTCTCTGAACCATGTTTCACACCTTAGACATTGGCGTGCGTGAATTAATATTGAAGACATATTTCCTCCAAGATTGTCGTTTGTTTTGTTTGAAGGTACGACGTGCCTTCGCATTGAGTATTTTAAATTTATTTAAATTATGGACAGTTGGATGATTGCGGAAATAATGTTCCGCCTTTTTCCTCGCTTTTCTGGCTTGTCTACAGTCTGTATTAAACCATGGTTTTCGTACGTGTGGAGTTGTAGAGGATTTCGGTATACACTCATCAGCTATTTCCTTTAAAACGTCAGCAAAAATCTGAATGGGATCAGGTACGTCACTGAAGCATTCAGGTCGTAATTTCGATTTACATATAGTTTGAAATAAATGCCAGTCAGCCTTCTCCATCTTGTATATGATGGAGAATCAGATGGAGTTATTTCTGAAAGAATAGTTGGGAAGTGGTCACTTCCACAGAGGTCACTATGGACAGACCAACCAAATTCATTTAGGAGGTCAGAGTCTGCAAGAGACAGATCTAGAGAAGAATAGGTTCCGGTTGCAGGATGCAGGTATGTGCTTGAATCATCATTGTATATACATAGGTCATTATTGGAGATAGAATCTTCCAGTATTTTACCTTTAGTATTAGTGTTATTACTACCCCAGAGCGGGTTGTGACCATTTAGGTCACCAATAATAACACAGGGCTTCGGGAGTTGATCATAGAGTGACTGTAGATCAGTCTGCTGAAGTGCCCACGAAGGCGGAATATACTATCGACAAAAAATAAGGGAACGAAGAAATTGAATGCAGCAAACGTACAGGTGAAAGGGTGCGTTACCGTAGCGTTGCACCCGAACGCAACATCCAATGACAATGAAATTCAACATGATGCATTACCAACACGTTATGCACGTGCACACAGAAGTCAACCTCTGTAAACGTATTGGGAGAACTCACAATCACTAATGTAAGAGAGTTGAACATATGCTGAAAAATGCCTCCGAGGCAGTATCTCAATGAACAAACAAATTGGAGAATTGGGGGGATGATAGAGGGGGGGGGGGGGAGAGACATCATTGTGTCAAGTTGCCCGAATGTTGGGTAAATCAAAAATTATAATTTCACGCCTGTGGGACAAGTGCCGTCAAACAGGTGGGGTTGCAATGAGACCTGGGCGTGGCAGACCAAAATCAACGACACCACGACAGGATCGTCTCATTACATTAATGGCCCTACGCAATAGGTTCAAATCAGCACCTGCCATCAATAGGGAATTCCGTACACTCACTGGGCGACAAATTTCACACTCACCCATTAAAAAACCGGCTCTATCAAGCACGTCTGAAAGCAAGGCGGCCTTTCAAGGGTGTTACCCTTACAGCTCACCATAGGCGCCAAAGATTGGCATGGGCTAGGCAGCATCAGGGACGGGCTTTCCGCCATTGGCGTTACACCATGTTCTCAGATGAATCAAGGTTTTGCCTCAGATTCACAGATGGCAGAAAACGTTGTTGGCGCGGTAGCAGTGAGCGGTATGCCAGAGCGGCAATTATTGACCATGATCGATATGGGTGTGGTAGTGCCATGGTGTGGGGTGGGTTGACACATGACAAGCGATCAGATCTGGTCATCGTTAATGGATCCTTGACTGGTCAGCGATACGTTGACGAAATTTTGCGTCCTGTCGTGGCTCCACTGGCTAGAATCATCGGCAGGAATTTTGAATTCCAAGATGATAATGCCACACCACATCGGGCCCAAATTGTCACAGCTTATCGCCGACGAGAGGGCATACAGACATTGGACTGGCACTCTAAGTCCCCAGACCTGTCCCAATTGAACATCTATGGGACATTCTCGGTCGAAGGGTGTACACCAGGGACCCCGCACCCGTCAACCTGGCCCAGCTTGGTGCAGCTCTTCAGGAGGAATGGCGGGCAATACCACGGGCAACCATCCGGAAATTAATCAACAGTAATCAAGGTGTCGGGAATGTGTTGCCCAACATGGTGGACACACCAGATATTGAACTTTACACCCACATATTGATTTAGTGGACATTCAGAGCAATTTCACATTCACTGTCATTTCATCAGTTCCCTTATTTTTTGTCGGTAGTATATATACAGAGCATAATGTAAATGCTACACCCAGAGTAAGTCGCACTGCAACAGCTTGGAGATTAGTTTGAAGTGTGACAGGGCTGTGAATAACATCCTGCCGTATAAGGATAGAAGATCCTCCAGTGGCCCTATCACCCAGAGGAGAATAATGATGATAGGCTGTAAACTGGCATAAAGTAAAATTATCCGTCTGTTTCAGATGCGTTTCTTGTAGACAGAATGCTGATGGCGTTAAATCCTGGACTAATAGCTGCAGTTCATTAAAATTAGTCCTCAGACCTCTACAATTCCACTGCACGATATTAGTGAAATGACCTATCTTTTAGGTGGATTGATAGGGGACCTACCCCTTACTTTCTTCGAGGGCGACGAGCTACGTGCCCTGGGATGGATGCTTTCTGACACATCCATGTCCTCGAGAGAACCATATTTGTTATATAATTGTATACGGTTTCCTGAACCCTTAGAGGGTCTACCGCTTTTTTGCACACTTTTCATCCTAGGTTTAACTGTATTTTTGACCACATTCTTTGAAGTTATGTCAGATCCAGTCTTCTGAGTGGACAATAATTGTACTTTATCCCGAACTTTGATTTGTACCAACTCTGAAGTCTGACTAGATTGTTCAGGTGTAAGAAGGTGAGGGGTATCGTTTGTAACCCAAATCAAGTCTGTTTGACACTCTATTGAAATACTGGAAACTGGCGAATTTACTTTTGACAAGCTTTCGGAGGGTGTCCTGACGATTGATGCATATGATTCATTTGGAACTGTTGAATCAACAAGCTTTTTAGCATCAGCGAAGGTAATGTTTTGAGTGAATTTAACCTTGTTTATTTCCATTTGTTTTTTCCATATGGGACAGTCTTTAGAAAAGGAGGAATGATTACCTGAACAATTTGTGCTTTTTTGAAGGCACTATCACAATCTTCAGTTACGTGTGAAGTTTCGCTACAGTGAGCACATGTTATAGGCTTTGTGCAAGTGTTGACACCGTGGCCATACTTTTGGCACCTGAAACATCGCCAGGGGTTTGGGATATAAATATCAACTGTGATGTTACAGTAACCAACCTTTACAGACTTTGGAGGATTTGGTGAAGTGAATGAAAAGAGGTATGTGTTTGTCGGAATTACGTCATTGTTTTTGCGGGTGGTAAATCGCTTGACATATGTCACTCCCTGATCTTTCATTTCGGATACGATGTCCAGTTCTGACATGTCGGCCAACAAACGATCTCTGTCTCTTATAATTCCTTTGCTGGTGTTCAGTGTTCTGTGCGCAGTAGCTGAAACGTGGATTCCAGCAAATGTTTCTGTTGTCATCAGGTTGGCAGCTTGTTGTTTCCGAAGGCATTCAATCAATAATGATCCTGAACGCAAGCGTTTTATGTTCTTTATTTCACCTGCGATGCCATATATACCCTTAGAAATTACAAAAGGATTCAGCTTTAGTGGTGTCTCGTCTTCAGTGTCGAGAACCAGGAAACGTGGCCAGTTTTCTGTTGATTTGGACGGTCTCTGCTCATCATCATTATCGAGTGGACGTTTTGTTTTTTTGGAGGGGGTTTGGTAATCCATGGTAAGTTTAATTTGATTCATCATCCGGGCTCCCCACCCACCACGGAGTATCACAAGGACAATGCTAATCACAAGTGGGTTTCCGACTTGCAGCACCAAGGATACCCGGATGATATACTCAAGCAGAACAATCAACAAGCAATAATTCCACAAGATTGGCCCATGAGCCACTGCCTTCTGGACATAGGACTCTAGGCAAATTACTAAATCGCAGTTGTACAATCAAAATAGAAATATATCATCTTGAAGCCAAGACCACTGACAAAAATTTGTAATAATTTCGAAAATTTGTGCAGCAAATTTTACATGTACAGGGCTTAACATGGCCAGCCGATTGATAGAACCGAGCCAGTTCTACCACCCGTCTAGGTGAAGTAACGGCCGAAGTGGTGTGTTGGGCAGAGGAACACTGTTCCTGGAACCAGTGCCCTCAACCACCAGACTCCCGTCCTCCACCGACACAGGGGCGCAACCCATGGCAAACGGGGTTGGTGGACTAAATATACCCCCGGGTCCACAACGGGGGCTCGAAGAGCTCTTAGCGTTACCCAGTACCCACCACGAGGAGGTGGCTCTTCACGGGTGCCTTTGGATCTGAGAGTGCCAAATCCACCCTGCCTCATGAGAATAGAAGCACCGATCTGTACATTTCAGGTATGTCTCTTGTAGACTAAAAGCTGATGGTGTAAAATCTTGTGACAATAATTGTGGATCGTTAAAATTGTTCCTGAGGCCTCTGCAATTCCATTGTATTATTTTCATAAAACTGCTTAGGGAGCTTCCACTGGAGATCGTGAGCGCGGCAGCGCCACTCCTACAGCCTGTTTGTGAAGGAGTGATCTCCATGTCAAGCGGTTCGAACAGATTTTAAACCGCCACAGAAGGTGTTAAAGGAGAAGGCTCTTCTAAATGTTGAAGGGCTCTGGTCTTTCTTCTCAACTTTTTCTTTTCTTTATTTGAGAGTTTAACAACGCTCTGAGTATCTGGAGTTAAATCAATATCTGATATTTGTCCTGGTTGGTTCTCCTCAGTCTGGGAGGCTGATGAGCGCTGACAATCCTGTGATGATTGAGTCGTGTCATCTAAGGTTATCTGAGCGTCATTCACACAAGATATGTCAGTCTGACAAGATGTTGAAATGGATGCAGCTTTTTTGACAGTAGAGGGAACAGGAGAAGATACTGTAGCAGAATAGGTAAGACCTGTTGCTGGTCTTGACTGAGCCTGAACCAATTTCTTTGCTTCAAAGTATGAAATATTATTATTGCACTTCAATTTTAGAATTTTGCACTCATACTTCATGTCATTAGTACATTCGGTGCTTTCATGAGCCCCACTGCAGCGTGAGCACACTGACTTACCTGTGCAAGATCTTGCACCATGTCCAAATTTTTGGCATTTGTAACACCGGAGTGGATTTGGTACATATACCTCCACTCCGATATTACAGTATCCAGCTTCTATGAATTTGGTAAGAGTTGTCAAACCAAAAGTGAAAAGATATGTATTTGTTTTGACAAAAGTTGACTCTTGTTTCCTGTTAAAACGTTTAACAGAAGTAACACCCTGCTCTTTCAGTTCTGCTACAAATCTTTCTTCCGACATATCGGACAGACAGCGGGCCCTGTCTCTGATAATACCTCTACATGTGTTTAGAGTTTTATGAACAGAAACAACTACCTGGTTGTTTACAAACTGCTTTAATCCCAGAAGATTGCCTACGCAAACATTCAATTAAAAGAGAACCATTTCGTAGACGAGTGACGTTTTTAACCTCTCCGCAGATACCTTGAATACCCTTGGAGACGGCAAAAGGATTGATCTTTAAAGAATTTCGATCAGAACTTTCAATGACCAAAAACCTTGGCCAGGAATCTTTAATGAAGGAAAGATATCTCTTCATCGAATGAAGAAGACATGTCACGACGTTTACTCGTTTTTGATGAACCAGATTGAGCGTTTTTAGCCATGGTGTAATAGTATATATAATTCAACAACCCTGCCCCCACCCGCCATGGAGTGTCAACAAGGACGATATCGCAGTCGAAACCAGACTGCAATACCAGGGTTACAGGGATGATATACTCCAGAAAGTACAGACTTGAAAAGCCACGGTATCTTAAAGAATAAGTGCCAGGCTGGTTCGGCCCATGACGCTTTTCTAAAGAACACGGAATTCAGAGGTATATATAACCATGAAGGCGGTGGCTCATGAGCCACCGCGTTCTTATATAGGACTCTAGGCAAGTAAATATATCAATAATTTTGTAAACT